AACCTTAGTTTTTCCCAGGAGGTCTCCCATCCAGGTACTGACCAGGCTCACACCTGCTGAGCTTCAGTGGGCTGCCAGCTGTGAGTTGCAGGGTGATGTGGCTGCTGGCTAACCATGTGATGGTTTTCCAGGAAAGAGCAATGCAGAGGAATGTTTGCTGCAGTGCCCTGACATACTGGGTCGAAATGCAGAAACTCAGATTCTTTAACTATTGTTTCCCAAGATATCTGATACACTTGTAGTGCAACCTTTTTGATCAGGGGTCTCCATCTCTGTTCCTGAAGAGCCATTCCATCTAGTCTTATATTACCCATTTCTAAAAATAGCAAACAGTTTAACTTATTCATGAATTAAGCAAGCATTCTGTTCAATTAACTGAATTGAAGTAGGTTACTAAGATGTTGGTGCGAAATAATATTTAAATTACTTAATGAATTACCTCTTTAACTGAACACATTTCCAGGTCTTTAGAAATTGGTGATTTAATTGTGATCTATAAAACATGTTGAACTGGGGCTCTTCGGGTCCACAGTTGCTTAGATGGTAGCCTGTATTTCTTGGCTTCAGTGCAAGCGAATCTGATTGTGTACAAGCAACTGCACAATTTAAGTACATATTCAAGTAGCTTCCCCATTGTTTCCAAAGTAACAGTCCTTTATATACCATACTGATTTAAAAAAAAAACCTTTTTTATGGGTCTGTGTATTGCCCACAATTGAGTCCAGTCATGTTTCTGCTTGGAAAGTGCAAAGGTTGTATTTTATTTATTACCATGGAGAAAGCATATGTTGCTTATGTGACCCAACATTCCTCACATTCCACTTGTCTAATTTTTAACATTTATTGTAGTTAATTATGAGTGAGTATACATACCTGACTTGACAGCCCTTCACAAGAAAACACTATACCTCCAAAAGTCTATGGACTAGTTGTCAAATGCCGATGGTGTATGTGATTATTAAAATGCCTTTTTACTGATAAGGTCTGTCAGTTTTTTTTTATGGTGCCAGTGGTGCATTAGTTTATAGCCTATAACTTTTTAAGAAAACTATGAAAAAGGTTGAATGTTCCCTGGTCATCTTTATTTTAATTTTTAAATGTTTCGTCTTTGTTTGCCTGAAGTTCCTGTTTCTATTGTCTCTACTTTTAGCTCCCATCCTGCAGAGTGTGTGTGTTCATGGGGTGATTGTTTTTCCCTGTGGGGAGCAGGCTGACTAATGTACTGTGCTTGCAGAGCTCTTGAGTGTATTCACCATTTGATCATGACCACTCACTGTCAGTCGCTCATTCTTTCAGAGTTGCAAAACAAGCAAATGCATGTGCAGGATTCTCCTCCAGCCCTTTAATTCCTCACTTGCAGTCTATGCAGTGCATTCACAGAATGTGGTATTTCTTCATTGTTTCTCCTTCATTAAGGTATTGGTCTTTCTGGGTTTCAAATAAGGACAGTGTTTGCTTTCTTGTGGTATAAATAAAGAGCAGAGTGTTTACTAACACTAAAGTTCATGGCTTTAGCTCAGTTGACGTTCCCTCAGCGTGTGGCAGTACTGTTGAGTATTAACTGAGGGTTGTGTACACTCTGTTTAGGTTTGTTTCTCATTCCAAGTAGTTCAGCAGGGCCGTGCTCTCCACAGAGCAGATTCTCTGAATGTCCTATGGTCTTTACCAAGGTCCACATTCGGGATTGATTTCTGTACACTTGCAAGCTTTTCTCCAAGCCTTTACGAACACCCAATTAATTTCACCAAGTGAAAAAAGATTATCCTTGTATATATCCCTGTTCCCTACACTACAGAAGTTACATTTTTATTTGGCGTTATCATTTTTTCTTATCTTTTGAAAATTCAGCCTCTGTCACTGATCACCTACCTGCTGGAAATTTGAGTTCCCTGTGTTTTGCCTGTAGGACTCCCTTTATAACTTTATAGGCAGTGTTCCCTTGGAGTTAATATAAAAGTTGAATTACCAAAAAGATTGCAAGTTTATAAATCGGTTTCCAATTTTTCACTTGCTGATTTGCTTAATACAGATCACAGTGCCCAGTGTTTTTTTTTCTAAGATTCCTTTTCCTTTGCCAGCTATGTCTTTATGGTCTGAATTTGTGTTTTTGTGTAAAAAAGCACGGGTATATTAGAGGCCAGTATTCACATCTAGCTCTATGGGAGACAAGATCTCTGTCCAGCTCAATTCTGCCTTCTTAAAATTACTGCTCAAGGGAAAATCTTCCCTTCCTGCTCTTTGAAGCCTAGATTCAGAGTTCATAGACATTTTCTACTGGTGGGACTTTCAAGTCCTGACAGACCACAGAGGCATATTAAACAACCAAGAAGACAGAAGAAGACCGCAACATGAAGTTTGATTCAGTCCATCACTCTGGAAAAGCCAAATTAGGCTTACTGTAGGAAACCTGTACCTTTCGTTTTCTCAGGATGCCAGTGAGTGTCTGAAGTTACACAGGCAACGCTGGTTTAGTAGAAAATATAAAATAGTCCATTGAGGTGTACCGGTTCACTCTTGCGCTGAGTAGTAAAACCATTTTAATCCAATCTTCAACTAAAATCAAACTTTAAAAAAAGTTTTAAGTTTAGTGAAGGCCAGGATAAAATGTTTTTACTCCTCGGGTAAAAGCTGAAATAATCAAACCCCTATATATCTGAAGTAGCATTATTCATAAAATGATGAATATGATCTACAAGATGAAGAGATATTTGAAGCCTCTGTCTGCAGCTGACTTATTTTATACGCTTTGAGCTTCTCACAATACAGTATAAAGAAGAAGCCTTTGTTTGTGTACACTGCAATCATCTGAAGTGCTTCATCTTCTCTAAATAAAAGCGTGCATCATGCCTTATGAAGCCACTGGCTTATACGCTGAGTTGCGGCTCTAGAATTAGAAGCTGGTGATGGATTATTATGCTGAGAGCCACAGGGCCAGGAGCTCAAATCTCAGAAGAGGAAATTTTTACAGCCTTATTATGTAGCGATAATGGGGAATAAAGGCTTACTGATGAAAGAGTATTGTTTGATTCTTGGAACACTAAAACCTTGAACAGTCCTTAGGTTATAGCACCTGATGGAAACAAGTCAACTGTAACTTTAACCACCTGCTTTTATGACGAGTGCGATTGTGGCGCTCTGACATCAAGAGTCAGATTTTCACATGTATTTTATAAGTTAACGTTTCTGGGACGTTACCTCAGGAAGGAATTTTTCCTTTGTCCATTTGATTTTGTCTTCTAGGAAAACTAAAACCTTCTAAAGAGGTCTTCTCCCAAGAATATCGGGAAAAATAGGAGGCTTTTAGCCCAGGGAACTTAAGTGCAATATGACACATGTACAGGTTTCTCCAGAGATAAGAGGAAGTGCAGTTTCCCATTCCCCTTTATGGTTACTGTATGTCCTGTAAATGTCTTTCAAGCAAACTTTATTCATGATCGTTAAGCCTGAGCAGAAACAACTCCAGAACCCTGCAGCTGCTGCGTTCCGGACTTAAACCCGGAACCCTTCGATGATCTCATCGGGGTACACTTCACCGGGCCGTCAGGTGCCGTCACCCCCATCCGGATCAGCGCCGACACGAGCCCCTCGCGCAGCCCCCTTGTAGCGGAAAGGCCACTGGCTGGCCCCAGTGGCAGGGCACAGCAGCACGCGACGGGGGGGGGTTTACGTCGCCGTTTCCGTCGGCTCGCTTGGCGGACGCTTTTATTGCAAAGCGACTTGCAGTTAGGTGCCGTCGAGATGCGAAGGCGGCAGGTCACAGCTGGATAAAGCAAGGATCAAGCCACAGGAGGCCGTAAGTGCAGTTAACCGCGGGGGCGTTGTACACTGCGCTGTGACGAGGGCTGGGGGAGAGAAGTGAGGTGGGTTATGCCTACAGTCCACTTCTGTATGTTTACTTCCCCCTTTCTCTTTCCAGGTTGACGAAGCCCTTGTCGTTTGCGGACTGCGTAGGCGATGAGCTGCCATGGGGCTGGGAGGCGGCTTACGATCCACAGATTGGGATCTACTACATTGACCACATTAACAGTAAGTCCCGCTGAGTGTACAGCGGTAGATTTATCCCCACGACACGGCCAGCGCTTTGTTTTGGTTGGATCCCGCCGGGAAGTTTCTTCATTTTGGAGCAGTGATGTGCTCTTACCTCCACGAATACAGAACACTCATCCAGTGGCCCTTCCATACGTGAAAAATGCTTCTTAGCCAGATCTTGGGACTGATCAAGGATGAAACCCAGTCGTTATTAAGAAATGTGTTTGAGGGAATATCAGTTTGCACCTGCAGTGATACTTCTTACAGGGTGTGGGGATGTACTGTAAATGAACATTATTCAAGGATGTTTCTGAATTTATTGGATAAGCTATGCAGGGACATCACTAGTCTTTTAAGCTCAAGATAAAAAGGTGATTATCTCCCTGTGTGGCCCGTTTCATATTAACTTGCCAGCTCTGTGCATTATTCTTTAATCTGAGTTCCCAGTAAGAGAGTTATGCTCACAGACATACATTTGCCTCAAGCACTTTGGTTTTTTTTTCCAGAGAAAGAGAGCTTTTAATTCCGAATGCAGGATTTTGCCTGCTGCCCCATGTGTCTGTCCCAGAGTGTTTTCCCCATTTAGAAGATGCGGAGTGGCGCTAGTCATCACAGTGCCCCATCAGTATAGGGCCACGGTTTGTAACGGGGTAGTGAAAAATGTGGTTGCCCTCTACATGGCAAACACAACATAAAGTACAGTATGTTTCAGGAACTCGCAGTCACTGGCTCTTTTGTTTTTCAGTGCAGCACAATCTGCAAATTAGTGTCAGAAAATTACGCAGGTTTGCCGAAACCTTAAAATAAGGATATCGGCACATTCTTCACATTCAGCAGATTCTATGGTTTGTTCGCCTAGAGAGTTCAATTTCACACGGGCGAGAAGGTGTTCTGAGCATCGTCGTCCGCTGCTGCTGCTGCTGCCCTCAACCCCTGCGATACAGCTCGGCCTCCAGTCACGTACCTGTTTTCCCCTCTTTGTGTTTATTTGATTGCAACTTCGCCCGCTGACGTTCTCTTCTGAAGGGGCACTTTTTGTTCAAATCACTGGGAGGCAACCTGCCGCTGAGCAAGTTCGAAAGGAGGTCAAGTGTGTCTTTCCAGCCTGCTGCACTGGGCCGCTTGTTTGTGATTATGTCCACCTGACTGGGAGATGGGGTTAGATGTTCACATCTTTGTGGGGCTGGTTCTCTGACTCCAGTCCTGTTCTGCCCACTCATGACCCCACATCCTTTCGTACCTGTAGGCTTGTCCACGACAGACCTCTCACTTCGGCAGCTTTGAGTTTTAATACATTTTTGCTTGTGGGTCTAAACTATAGTTTGGGGAACTGATGCTAAGACATGAATGGAGAGAAGAGCTTGTTTCTTATTTTTGGTTTTGGCTTGAACACCTCCGGGGGCTTGTTACGCAACATTTCTTTTTCGTCACGGTGGTAATGATTTTTCTAATAATTGAAAAGCTTTAGGCAAAACGTTGTTGAATTTCCATCACGCTAAAAGGCTATTTTTTTATTTATTCCGCAAGACAGGTTTTAAAGCGTATTCATTTGGAAAATTGTTTTGCTTTTAACATACACCATGGACGCTAACATTTACTACAGGGACGCATCTGGTACATTTAACCAAAGTAAATTTTCAGTGCTCTGAATTAAATGTTTGACACCTTTTGGGAATTTAATGCTGTTAGTGCTTTTCAGTTTGTGCTATTTCACCTGTTGATACAGGGACTTCAAATACTAATCGAAAAGGTGAAGACTGGTCTGCATTCACAAAATCATGCAGTTTAGCAATATTGAAGGCTGTGACTTTCCTATCTTTGAATTCAGGGCATGATCTGTAGCAATGTGTCACATGTCACATTTCAGCTGTATCATTCTGTATCCCCAATACTGATGCCCTCTCGTTAGAGGACAGGTATGTGGCTTGGCATTGCTGTTGGTTTTTACCTCTTGTACTGTATGTGTCCATGATGAAAGTTGAATCATACCCTAACTACTGGGTAGGAAACATACTCAGAGTGATTGCTCAATACTATATCAGTTCAAGTGCTGTCTTCTTTTCTTTTCATTGTTACAGGTTGCACCTTAAAACTGTTGTTGGCAGTTAGGCATTTCACACCACATTGTTGACTGATGTGAGTTTTTAGCAGGTGCTCCCTTTCGCACTGAACTGATTACAAGTAATGAACATGCTGTACTTTCACGAATTGTCTGTCTCTGTCCTTGTATACTGTAGTAGCAGTAGCTTAGCTTTGCTGCCTTTCTTAAGGGTTACACAGTGCAGACCTATGGAACATTCGGTGTGAATTATGAGATCACCGGTGTAACTAAAAGATTCCTCTGGGTCAGGCCCTATATCTGCGCTGTTGTACTAACTTCAGTGACATCCAGCTTTTATCATGTTTCAGAAGAGAGAAGTAAAAATGATTATGCTTATATTTGCCCAAAGAGTATTTTCCTGAGGGATTTGGGGTCTGCTCTATTAACTTAATTGATCTATTAACTTAAATGTTTTATTCCTGTTAAAATTCATTATCCCCAGCAGTCTCTTAAGGTGTCATAACCCACATAACTAACGAGCCTTCAGAAGGACATTCTCATTGAAGGAGCATACCCTACACTTATTGGAACAGCATGAATGGATTGGCTCACTCTTTCTTCTGGAGGAGAGAAAAACCCCCCCCCCCCCCCCCCACCGTGAGAGAAACCTCTGTGGGTCCCAGGTCCAACAGACAAAGTATTGGGTACACTAGTTGTTATAAATCGTAAGCAGGCTCAAGAAAGTCTATATCTGAAGCCCTGTCGTCCTTGGACGCTCATCGTGGTTAGCCGAGTGAGGTAGCTGTGGTTTCCTGTGTCTGGCTGTCAGGACATGCATGCGTGTTTCCATGTGTTTTTGCCAGGTGTTCTGGTTTCGTCCCACCTTCCAAAGACATGCTGGCGGGGATAGCCAGTGCTCAGGGATTATATTTGTGTGTGTGTTTGCCCTGTGAACTGTGAACATAATGAGTCGCAGGGCAGATGTTATTCTAGAAACCATTCATCAGCAATGCAGCATTGTAGTTATGACTCCGGTCTTGTACCTTGTAACACAAGGAAACAGAAAATTCAACATGTTTTACTGTTCATGAAGGCTTTGTTAGCAATAAAAGAGTACTTAAAACATGGACGAAAGTAACATACACAAGTTATCTCCTGAGACAACACCTGTACAATCCACCAGAGAGTTTGTGTATAACATATTGGCTTTGTTAGTTACCCAGGGACTCATGTAAGTCAATTATCCTCAACCACTTTCTATAATAAATAGCTTTATAATAGAAAATAATAAGCTTTCTTTTCTGTGGTATCTTTCATGATGCAGCATCTCAAGGTGCTTCCTCGGGTCATAATCAAAGCCATTGATGGAGATGAGTGAATTTCTCCCATATCGCTGAAGTATTAAAGTTTCCAGTGCTCACTGTAAAGCCAAAAATAAAGGGGATCTTATAAAAAAAGATCAGAAACAAAAAATATATTACAGTAGTGGGCTAAATGAGGTTGAAAATTGCTGGAGGTAAATGACTGGTTTTATTGAAGTAATTATGTGGATGAAAGCAGAGGTGCCCTGGGGAAAATCTGGTTATTCCTCATACTCAACAGTCTCTGCATTGCTGACATACTTAAGGTGGCACAGAAGGGCTGAGACTTTTTTAAAATCGTTTTGCAAAAAGAGGAACTTAATTTTAATTTGTAGCGCTCTCCCTTCAGAAGCATTTCAAAAGAAAGTGTCCTCAAGTTTCTTTCTTCATTCTTATGTGCAAACAACTTCAGGCTCTTTAAGCTGAAAACTGGTTTGGTACAAGGCGTTTTGACAGTGTTTGGAACTGCACAATGCAGTTCTATGTAAAAGTTCTTCATTATGTCTGTCACATAGTTCAGAGCTTAATAACTTCCTGTTTTCTTAGTTACTGGTGTTAAGTAGATCTTAGAATTTTGGGTGTTTGCCTCTGACTAACCAACTGGCCTAGGCTGGCATAATTTGACAAAAGCAAAAGAATAATCATATATTGCTTGCAAGCAACAATAAAATAGATATTTTTGACAGCAAAGTGTGCAGTTGGTTTAAATGTCCTTCTGCTTAAGTGAATGACATCTTTTGAAAATATTTTGCTCACTTCACCATGCCACCTTTGCATTGTTGGAGTATGAAGTGAATCTTCTACAGCTAACTAAAAAAAATAATAATTAAAGCAAAGGTTTATCAGGTTTGACAGAGGCTAGGTGTCATCTTCTGATCTTTATGTCCTTTGCTGTATGAAGCACAAATAAAGATATGAATGTGTGTTCTTCAGAGCCACCTCCTATAAGGCATGTCTGCTGTAAGTGATTTTGTCTCTTGTGAGCCAGTCCCTTTTTGGTAATTGTGTGATCTTAAGTAGAATAAACAGGTCTCCTTTTATACCATTTTTTGGTGTCCCATTACTGGATGATTTAACTTTTCTCCCACCACTCTAGGACGCACAAAACAAAATGTTTGCTTAATTGTTTCTGTTCCAAGAAAACAGGATATTTTCAGCTGGATTCATCAAGGATTTTGGATTAAGATACAGTTTGCTCTGTATTGTCATGTGCTGTACGCAAGAAACTTTCAGATTAGGAGCTGTTGTCTTCTTTCATGATACAAAGCAAAATGACTGGTTAAAGTCTTGGTTATGAGCACACTTGGGCGTCACTTCATTACAGCTTGTGTATTTTGTCTCTTATTGTGGTATTGCATGATCAAGTAAAGTCCCCCAGACCCTCACCCCAACCCCCCCCGCACAGAATCCACAGCTTCTCGTTTTCTCCCGCGTGCACGTCGCGGTCTGACCCCGGTCCATCCACCGGCGTGTTTCAGTGGTACCTCGTTCTGGCCTCCCCGGCCTCTTGTCGGTTGCCCGTTCAAAAAGACCCTTCAGGTGTGGGAATGCTGAACTGACCACGTGTGTGTATGTGTGTGTGTGTGCGTCTCTCTGTGTGTGCGCGCGAACGCTCAGAAACGACCCAGCTGGAGGACCCCCGGAAGGAGTGGAGGAAGGAGCAGGAGCGGATGCTGAAGGAGTACCTGACTGTGGCGCAGGATGCCCTCAGCACGCAGAAGGAGCTGTACCAGGTGAAGGAGCAGAGGCTGGCGCTCGCCCTGGACGAGTACGTGCGCCTCAACGATGCCTACAAGGAGAAGTCCAGCTCCAGGACCAGCTGTGAGTACTGACGTTGAAAGTATTTCAGCTAATCAGCGTTTTTGACGAAGGCAGGCGAATTTCACAAAATTGTTGCTCCTCAGCGTGGCCCGTCGAGTTCTTGTGCTCCTGTTTTACATTGCAGTGCTTGAATTTCTCCACATTTCTGACCATTTTTTCCCAAATTTGACTCCCCTCATTTACTTTGGTTCAGTCCGCCAGCTCTGGGACAGCCCACTATGTTTTTCACCGGGGGGGCTCGTAAGGACAAACCCTGCAGCCGCACACGGGAGAATGAGGAAGAGCGGGCATGAACCTCCTGTGCATTCCCCTGAGTGCCGCTTGCTTTTTAACATCCCAGGCTACGCCACCCCATGCAGGAGGATTAGCGTTGATTGGAGGAGAGGCACAAGCACACGGAAAGACATGGGGGCCCTGAGTCACTGCAACATAAGAGGAGCCCTGAGCCAGTGGAGGTTGAGCTCTTTAACCCACTGGTTTCATTTTTTTGGGCGGCTACCACAAGACCAAAATGTTGGAACTGATACAGTAGAGGGAAATTTTAAGTGCGATGTTAAGTGCAAATTTGTTTGTGTTCTTCGGGTTTTCTTATCTCAGAAGAAACTAATTTTGTTTTTTTTTTCTTATTTGTAGTATTCTCAGGATCTTCATCAAGCACAAAATACGACCCTGACATACTAAAAGCTGAAATATCCACTACGAAAGTCAGAGTAAGGATTTTTTAGATCAAATTTCTTTTTGGCTTCATGTGCATAATTGTGTTTGTTGCAGTGCGAATGAAGAAAGCCCATTGGTTATTGAAGGCTAAAAACTTTTGGTGAAATATAAAGTTTTGAACAAAATCTGCTTGTGGAATATTTGCTTTTAAGTAATTTGTAGTTAATGTATGAAGTAAGCAACAAAGAATATCCTTCAAAATTAACTATTTAAATTCTTTGGTAATGCCAGTTTTTATCTTAAAGCTATTAGCAAGCTTGTGCATAGAGGAAGAAGCCAAGTGTTTTTAAAGTTGGTTATGAAATACTATTAACTAAATTTGAAGGAGGGTGAAAAACATCAGCCGAGCGAGATTAAAATGACTAATTGAAATAATTGGCGTGTAGCTTTCCATGGGTATTTAAGCCATTTTTATTCCCCATGAGTACATATAAAAACAGATTGAACTAACATCTCTGCTTTCATTCAATAGGTGAATAAACTGAAGCGGGAACTCTCACAAATGAAGCAAGAGCTTATGTACAAAGAACAAGGCTTTGAAACCTTACAACAGTAAGTCTGTTTGTGCGAGTGGCAGTCTGCCTGTCTTACCCTTCTCTGTTACTGCGGTGGAGTTCAGACAAAGGCCTTAATATGTCTCTGGGTTTGCAGGGTGAGATCTGAGGGCAAGGTGGCACTGGTACAGGTACGGTACTTGATTGGCACCAAATCGATGTCTGCAGTCGATAAAACGCATACTGGGATAACTCGCCTCACCTCTGAGCAAGCACATACCCAGGAGCGTGGGTTTAATAGTCTTAGGAGTTCCCGGCTCGGTCTTGCGTTCCTGCTCTCTGTAGCTTGGGGGAGTGAACTATAGGGTTTTTCCATGACCTTGATATCCAGCTGGACAAGGATGCAAAGCATCTGTGAAAAATTCATCCCACTGCTGTAGAGATGGGAGGGGGGTATTGCAATGGAAACCTAAAAATGAAGGGTGGAAGGCTAAGTCAGACAAGAAATTTATAGAAAAATCAGCTGTAACATGAGCCTTGAAGGCTCTCAATGCTTATTAAAGGGGCTTCAGGCTCGTGGGACTCCCGGGGCTTTAAGGAGAGGGTTTTGGTTGCCTCACATCCTGGGTCTCCTCTCTTATAAACTCTCCAGTAAACATAGATTTCCGCTGACTTGAGAGTGTCGACCACCTGTCTGTGCTTTAATGAATGATTCATTGTGTAGGCCGTTGCTTCCCTAGGCTTTTTCAGCCTGCGTGTGCGATTGCACAGCAGTAGTGCGAAGGCAGTGATCTTTGCCCCTTGGCCGAGATTAGCTCTGCTACAGAAGCAGTGGACATCAGGATTTCAAAGGCACTGTTTCTGCTGTATTACTTTGGGGACTATCTGTTATTTGTTGAAACATTTGGCAGATAAAGAAGAATGCGGGCATTTCAAGCATATTAATAACTTTGAGGAGCGGAAAAGGCTTGAAAGAGATTATTCTGCGTCCCACATCTACCGTGTCCCTGCAAAAGTATAATATTTTACCCATAATAATACATTTTAGTGAATTACAGCTAATGTATGCAGTTTTATTCAACTAACTTTTTCTTCAAAACTGTTTGCCAAGTTTTTTTTTTTCCGGTTATGGCTTCTTTCTTACTAATCGTTCACAGAAGTGACTTCCATCTCAGAATTTAGAAATGTTTCGAAGCTGCTCAGTTCAGTAGGGTGGCCTGGCCACCTTGGTGCCCTTGGTAGTGTGTGTCTGGGTGGCATGTTCACATTCCAAATCTTAATGATGAGTTTCCCCATACTGAGAGGGATATTTAGACTTCTCCTGACCTGTGCTTCTCAACCACTTTATCCCTGACTTGCTTCAGAAACTCTTTGGTCTTTGTGGTTGCAGTGCCATATCGTCCACTGTGTGTGTTGTGACTTGAAATTGGGCGTCTCTGAAGCCTTACTCTGAAATCACATTGAACAACTTTGATTACACACAGAGACCTTTACACTACTTTTGTGACCTTTCAATCAAATATTTTGCACCTGAAGTGACTAAGGTAGCATGGGTGGTATTTATGTATTTATTGAGCAGCAGTTTTAGCTTTGGCAATTTGAAAAGAAAATTGTCGGGTCTAAATATAAAGTTCTTTTTCAAAGTGTTGTTATTGCAAGCACAAATGGCCAGAAAATGTGGAAAGTTAGCAGGACAGGAAAATATTTTGCAAGACAATATAGCATGTGCAGTATATTTAAATTGTGGTATTTTTCATTTTTATTTAGTATCTGAACAAATTATTATTCATTAGACCCTTAGTGATTGATTTTGATACAAATGTACATGGGTTAGAGATCCTATTTTCCCTCCCAGCAGTATTCACTAATAGTAGTAATTCAAAAATTCATATTTGGGGTTGAAAATGACCACCTGAAACGATCAGTATTGCTACACAGTCTTCGCCAGGCTGTGAATCATGGGACTGAAGCAATACTCACATGGCTATGCATGGATTAAAGGTTAGCCTGCAAGCCAGTTTTTATTATATTAATTAAACAATGAAGCGTTGTTTGAGCTTGACCTGTTTGCAAGCAATTTTGTTTAAAAAGAGATCCAATTTTTGTTATTTAAGATGCTAAATTGCATGTCTGAGGAAACAAAGAATCTAGTATACATACGATTTATTGGCACCAAATGTTTGTGACAGTAACTTTGTAAATTGACGCTTGAAAGGACGATTTATCACAAAGTCTAAATGTTTTTATTTCAGTATTTATAGCGCAAGTCATTGATCTGATTAAGAAAGGACATTAGGAAAGCAGATCCCATTGGTTTAAACATCTCACGGCTGTTTTTTTTTTCTGTTTTTAAGTGCCATCAGTGCACAGCATGCATGGTTATGTTACTTATTGGAGAAAAACAGTTGATTTGCTTATGAAACTCCACTGGTAAATATAGCACAGGGCATGTATTTTACTTGTTTAAAAATCGTTTCCTTTACACTAAAAACTTTTTAAAATTTTTCTCCTGCAATAAAGATTAGTTTGTTTTCATAGGGAAGATTTGCTGGTCTTCTGCTTTTGTTTTCAATGAAAATGTTTTTACAGTTCAGGCCTAGTTAACGGTTATTTATCTCAAGGGTTTTTTTTTTGTTATTGCTTGCTTTCAACAACCCATGTGTTTCGCCTTGCTGACCAACTGTGGTAGTGAATTGTGTGAAGGAGGAGTGCTGCATATAGATAGTCAAATATGAATTAAAAAAAACTTTTTGACTACTTTCTCTTTTTCCTTTTTAGAATTGACCAAAAAATGTCTGGAGGCCAGAGTGGCTATAAGCTTAAGGAGGCGAAAGCTATTCTGAGTGAGCTCAAATCCATTCGGAAAGCAATCAGCTCGGGAGAAAAAGAGAAACAGGACCTGATGCAGGTATTGTAATTGAATACAGAGAATGCTCTGTGGGTGCAATGAATTATCCAGGGACTACAGAGTAATTGTTTCTGTTTGTATGATAGTGGGGTTAAAAGGAAGTATTCCCCTAAAAGCCATTAAATAAGTGACCTAATTTGTCTAGCATTGTGTTTCAGATGTTGTGGTGTTTTGTCAGATTGTTGCTTTTAATTGAAGACATTTTTCTGAACAGCAAAGGAAAGATCTGTTGATGGGTTTAGTAGTGTGGTGAAACCATACTGCATCAGCAGGGATGTTTTGGGGGAACACGGTTTACGGTCACTGAGTGCCGACAAGTGTGTTTCCGAAAGGAACGAAAGAGTGTCTCTCCTCTTTCCCGGGTGCCGCAGAGCCTGGCCAGACTGAAGGAACGGTTCCACTCGGACCAGAGCATGCGCCGATCCGAGCCCGACCTGCGGGACACCTCCAGCTCCCAGCTCCTCCTGTCCCGGCACGTGCTGGACGCCGGCTCGCAGACCGACGTCTCGGGGGAGGTGAGCCGTAATCCGGAGCGGAACCAGCCTGCGTGTGTCCTGAGCTCGCCTGCTTCTGTCGGCGGCTTGTTGCGGAGCGCGTTTGTGACGAAACGTTCGCGTCTCTCGTTCGCGCCTCAGAAGTTGATTTAAATATGTAAGATGGTCAAATAGCCTCTCCCGTGGGGGCAGTCTTGTTTCACAGCAGCCCCCTTTCACCCCCGCACTTCACTAGGTCAGGGACGGCCCTCGTGGTAAAACAGGGTCCACAAGCCCCCCTCGCCGTCGTCCTCTCCTGGATACCCGACCCCGGCAAGCTCCCTCCCTCGCGCCACGCAGGCAAGAACCCAGCAGCGCGCGGCCGGCTCCCCGGCACGCCCATAGCGTTGTTATTTCACGGGAAGCCCCGCCGTGCAGCTGGGAGAAGCCTGTGCAGTGGTGGCCGAAGTGGGTGGAAGGGCAAGGGGAATGCACTGGAAATACACCAGCAAAAAAGTAGCTGCCAGGCAATCCTGAAGTCCACTTTACTTTTAATGAGCTCCTTGACATTGCAAGGACCCGCGCATCCGTTGCACAAAGCGGCCTTGTCCTGCAGAGCTCCGGGGAGCCAGCATGACCCTGCAGACGGGGGGTGCAGGGCACCCCAATCTACACGGGGCACCAAAGAGTGCGGGACCCCATGCGTGCCCAGAATCAATCTAGAGGCATCTCTGATGTAGCCCGCACGTCACGTGTAAGGAGGCGGGAAATCAGAGCCTTCGCAGAGACAACGTGCAAAAACATGCAGGAATTCTTGCTAGAAAAATGTATTCCATCCATCCATGCTATTGTACGTGATTTTTTTTATCTCTCTAATGAACAAGTGTTTTCTCTTTTTCTAAAAAAACATTTTTTTTCCACAGCACTTAAAGCGTATGATAGAAATCCAAGTCAAGTACAGGTCAACCTAGAAAATAAGCTGCTTACAGGGCACAGTTTTGCACAAACCGCTCTGATTTTGACCAGATGGAATGCTTACGGGGGGGAGGGAGTAAGAGTTACTAATGATATTAAAACCAGTCACTTGAAGTCGTTACATGTGATGTTTTTCTGTGATCCAGCCTGATCCTGTGGAAGTGGAAAACTGGGTTCTGGGGCGGAACAGGGTAGTAATGGCCTAAAGGAAGAAGCATGTGTTGTTTTACAGGGAAAACGTGCCTAATGAGAGACTTGCACTAACAGTATTTGCAGGAGATATGCGTTAGAGAAGATCAGACGGTTGTGTGAGCTCTCTGCTTTTCTGTCCCTTTTCTGTGTTACAGGCTGGTCTGATGAGCAGAGCCACGCTGGCTGAGAAGGTCCGACTCAGTCTGCAGTACGAAGAAGCTAAAAGAAGGTGCCGACATTTTCTTCTCTCAGACATAACGAACAAATCTCTCTTGCACGTACAGGCTTTCTTCTTTCCTGGTCACAGGCGGCCAGCTTTTCACTTTGACAGGTTTCATTCCAGCTTCCAGGCTGGGGGCTGAGGGGTGAGGGCTTGATGGATCTCCATCTGAAGGGGTTAACTGCAGCTCACGGTGCCAGCTAGCCCAGCTGGAAAGTGTCTGACTTCAAAGATGAGCAAAAACCATCTTTATCAAAGCTCACAACCATATAAATGCAGCAGTGACTGCTGTTCCCTCTCTTGGCATCAGTTGGAACCAAGCTTAGTCTTTCACAGCCAAAACAACACCTTTGATATGACCAAAGGATATACAGCCCCTGACATTGGCTTCCAAAATATATATTTTTGAAGGTTGTTTTTACTTTAAAGACAAACTGGATAAACATAACACCATCATTTCTTGCAGTAATGTCTGCATCTGTTTTGTTAATGTTTTGAAATGTAAAAGTACGATCAGATCACAGAGATACTCACGTACTTTAAGGTTTGATTCTTTTTGGACTTAAGGAGTATGTGACACACGCCTTATATACTGTGCCAAGCAAGAGTTTCTGTGTGGGAAAGGGTTAACTGTTTATCGTACACTGTGAAATTATTTGCTTATTTGGGTTGTGCAGTTCACCCCTGGGTGGAATTTGCTCTTTCTCGGGCATCTCCAAATTCCCGGAGCTTCTCAGAGGACAGACAGGCAAAAACAAATCCTCTGAGCCACACAGCTGGCTGATCTGGAGCACCCTCACTGCTTCAGAAGGTGATAGCGGCCCAGTAGGTTCACTCCAAATGTGCTGAACGTTATTGGACCTATAGAGGAAATCCAAATTGTTTCCAGGAAACTCGGCAATAACAGCAGGAAAAACCGCAAACAGCTTGTTCATGTCGCAGAAGTTCTGAGCCGTTTGCTCAAGCCCTAATGGTGTGCCTCAAGTTTTTGCAGTGTCATCACCAGCTTTTCACATCTTGCGGGTTTGATTTTCGCCCACTCTTTCTTGGGGAAAATTGCTCCAGCTGTTGCAGGTTACTGGGGGAGCTGGTGGTGTACAGCAATCTCCAGTTAGTGCCACAGATCTTCTGTGGGATTGAAGTCTGGACATTGCCCGGGCCACTCCAGGACGTCCACCGTCTTCTTTTCAAGCCACTCGAGGGTTGCTTCGGCTTTGTGTTTGGGGTCATCGTCCTTTTAAAATATGAATTTCCATCCCAGTTTCAGTTCTTCTGAAGATGCTCCAGGATCTGCCTATATTTCCCTCTATCCATTCTGCCCTCTGCTTTGACAAGCCTACCAGTCCTTGCAGATGAAAAGCCCCCCCCCCCACAGAAGTCTGCTGCCACTGCCATACTTCAGTGTGAGGATAGTGTTTTGTGAGTCATAAGCGATGCTCTTCTTTTTCTCAGATATAATGCTTGACATTGAGGCTAAATAACTCACTTTTTGTGTCATCAGCCCATAACATTTTCTACCTCATCGTTTCAGAAGAAAGACTTCCTGTGAGTTTGTTTCGAATTTGACTTCCTCCTCACCACTGGACCATACAGTCCATTTTTGTGGAGAACCTGAGCTGTTGTTGACTTACTCACAGTTTCTCCCATCTCAGTCATAAGACATTGTAGGTCTTGGAGGGTTGTTTCCAGCCTCTCGTCTGCTTCTCCGACCAGTGTCCTTCTTATCTGGCTGCTGACTTTTGGAAGACGGTTGTTCAAGATTCTGAGTAGTTGTTTTCACTTCCAGATAATTGATTCAACAGTGCTCTGTGGGATACTCAGTGCCTTTGAAATCTTTTTATATCCCTTGCCTGACTCATGTCTATCCACAACTCTTTTCCTTAGTTGTTGCAGAAGCTCCTTTGGCTTCATATTATTTTTTTAGCAATGTAAATGTTTTTTAGCAACAGTAGGAGCTCACAGGTGTCTTCAATCTGAATGGATAACCACTTCAACCACTGGTTTCCAAACGACATATCATGCAATTTCAACGCATTGACATTGATACGTGATATCGATATCAATAAATTGATATTATTTATCAGAGAATTTTGTATGGATCAAAAGGGAAAACAATATCAGTCTACCAAGTTGTCTGATTGTAACTCAAATGAGGCAAAATACAATGAGAGTCAATACTTTCTATACCCCCTGGAGATGAAATGTTTGTGACAGTTTGAAGTTTTATGTTGGTTACTTGGCAGCAGGTATTGATCACTTTGGTATTGACTTGAGTATAACCCTTTCAAACTTTCTAACCAGCAGCTGGTTTGCAAAATATTAATATGATTCAAAACGTAAGGAGTTATTTCCACCTTTATACTGTGTAATGTTTGTTTTTGAAATATAAAGGTTTTGCATGTACATGATACATGCTGTGCATGTGAAATTACACTTGATTTGATTTAATGGAGTGACTTTTCCTGGCTACACTTTGTGACTTATAAAATTAGAACCAAACAGTATTTCTGCACATTGACACGTGCCGTATGACCTCTGCTAATAATGCCGATACCTTTTTTTGTTCCTTCTCCCGACGGAAAGCAATCATAATTAGTGGAGCTTTGCTCTTCTAAAACCGCAAAATACTTGAAATCTGCAGCTCTCGCAGAAAATGCAGACGCCTTCTCACCGGAGAAAAGGGAAGAAGGTGGACAAATATTGC